TTTTATATTGAACTTTCATGGGTTATCCTGTGTTGTATATATTGTCTTGAAGTCAACAAGATCTTTGATTTAATTATGAATGTAAAGTTATTATATTTCAATTAATTACTGTGTGAAAATCAATGTGATAGATATAACTGTGATAAATTGTCTTAATTTGTTTTGTAATATGACATATATATATACACAAATAAATCAATCAATCAATCAATCAAAACAATAATTTTTAACTCCACATATTACTAAATCTCATTTATGAGAAGTTACAATGCCAAGGAACCATATCTTTTTATTGCATCATGATTTGGGGTTTATTGCCATTTTTTACTTCTCTATGCTTAATTTTTGTCTTAATCATAAGCTTAAAAAGTACTGGAGATATTAATTTGTAACTTCACAGATATAGATCTTTTTGAGTAATGTGCTGTGTTTAAGAACCATAACTCTTTGCATACTTTTGGAGTTATTGCCCTTTGCATTTTTCACTTTAATTATTGTAAGAATTACATGAAAAGTGTTAGTACTCACCAGATATCAGTTTAAAGTAATATTGAAGAGACAATTTATTATGTCAATTAGAAGAAAAGACAAAAGTCAAACTTTATTCAAGATTGACATTCAATATCATAGAAGAAGCAACAAACTTTATGCAGAGATATGCATTTACTGGGCATAGAAGAACATTTCAACTATTTAATTAATGTACAGATTATAACTAAAGAACAAAGTACACTTTAAAAGCCGTAATTTTATTTTACAAGCATAGAATGGAACATAAACATTTTGACTTGAAAGTCAAATTTTACATCCCTAAAAAATGTACCGCCTTAAAAAATGGGAAGTTAAGTAACCCCATACTTTTCTAATTTTTCCTGATCATAATTATATGTGTTTAACACCTGGAAAAGTGATTTTACGTCCAATTTCTGTGTCTTTTCCTGCTACTTTACAGCTGGAATTATCATACCGTTACTGTGAGGCAGTGACTTTGTATCAGAATTGTGTTCATGGCATTCTAGTATGTTTAAGAAATATGAGTTTCTGATAAAATTTTCTAACTGTTCAACTTCAATAAATTATATTTTTGATAAAAAGTTCACTTGATGCTTTGGTAGAGTACAAACTATAAACAGATTTATTTCAGTTTTGAGCTTTGACTTAAATAAATCTTAAATCCTGCAATGCACAATTATTAGATTTCTCACTTTTTTCCACCAATTTTTATACAACCCAGGAAATAGTTAAGAGTTTCCCTTTTCGACTAAAAGTTATTCACAAAATTTTCTAAGTTTTTTTCCACTATTTTGCCACCCAGAAAATAGTTAGAGTTTCACTTTTCCACTAAAAGCCACTCATTTTCCACCTTCAAAATAAACTAAGTTTCATTTTTCACCAATTTCCACCTTTTTGCCACCATAAAAAAGTCTATGTTCAAATTTCCACTCAATGCCACCTAAATGCCACCAAAGGATAGTGGCATTTGGTGGCAATTTTGCCACTACAGTGGAAAAAGAGTGGAATTTTGTCATTTTCCAGTTAATGCCACCTTTTTTACACTTAATGCCACCCTTTTCAGTGGAAATAGCTGGCAAGTAGTGGCAAATCTAGGGACGGGTTACTTTTTAGCTATGTGCGACACAAAAAGGGAATGGACGGAGTCGGGGGCACAAAAAAGCCCTGGAATAACACCACTTAAAACTAGGGCTGGGGCGAGTATCCGAGTACTCTGATAATCACAAATCAAAATAAAAAATCGAGTATGAATATTCGTCAACCCGGAGATTGTGGATCGCGATCTTATTTGTTTATATAAATTCACTGTTTCTCACACTATTAAAGTCTCAAAAAATACCATTTTAGTATGAATTATGCGACGTTTACTTAAATACAATTTGCCGAATAAAGACAGGAAGTAAACAAACAAATAGCATGATGCTGAGCTAGGAAGTCATTAGTTTCGAAAAAGGAATCACTTTATCTTTATTGAGCACTATGTGTTTACATGAAAATAAATAAATATTTTTAGTAGTCGCTGTATATAGATTTATGATAACATGACATCTATCGAAGAAGGTTTTATCTTTAATAATCCAAAATTTGCATATTTTCTCAAGTTAAGTCAGCGTGATGTCTGCAACAATGGCTGAAAATGAGTTTCGCCAATATAAAATTCCACCAGCAAAATTTACTTCCAATGTTTGGAAACATTTGTCTGTTCATGAATTTGTTGTGCCTGTACAGTCAGCTCACCGTGGTATGTTTCACAAACGGCCTTTTTCCCTTTTTTTTATTGAAATACCTAAGTATTACCAACTTGCTGGTGGAATTTTTTATATACTAATGCGCGACTCCTTTTCGAAAAACCTTTAAACCTAGTGTATATTTGTATATATGTTTAATGTTTAGTATTGTTTAAAGAAAAATAAACATGTTTTCAGAACGTATATTCATGTTTTTATGGGTGTCTTGATAATAAAACATTCGTGGTTCGATTTGTGAATCCTAAGTGCTGAATCGTGGATCGGATCTGATTGTCACTTATTAGATGATCCACACCCCTTCTTAAAACAAGGTAACTTTTCTCCCCCTAGACACTTTAAAGCAGCAGATTTATGCTAATTTTCATGAAATTTTGAAAATTTATTATGTGAAGTGAACTGAGAAAACAGATTTCACATACAACCCATGTTAATAACAAAAGAGGTCAAAATAACCCTAACTGCGTTAATAACACAGTAGAAGTATGGTGAAAAATAATGCAAATCAGTGGTAAATCACACAATATAACATAATTTAAACTATGTAATTCATTTTAATATCTCCCTATTTCCCTTTGAACTTTGAACTTTGAACTTTTATTTTCAAATTCTAGGCCTCTGAGAGGCATCAGAACTCAACATATTAAACATAAACAAATGACGTAATACAAATTTGCTATATAACATGAACAAATGACCTGATACAAATTTGCTATGACTAGATAAACAGAAAATTATCATATCAGACTAAATTTGAGAAATATCAGACAAAATTTGAGCAATATCAGACACTGAGCCATTTCTAACACATAGGAAAATTTGCTATATAACATGAACAAATGACCTGATACAAATTTGCTATGACTAGATAAACAGAAAATTATCATATCAGACTAAATTTGAGCAATATCAGACAAAATTTGAGCAATATCAGACACTGAGCCATTTCTAACACATAGGTGATAAAAATACATGTTAGCCTTAAGAAACATAATATTATACTACACAATACTATTTACTATCAAAATGTATACATATGTTACACAACCTCGTTTATCATTTGAAAACATGCATTACTTTCCTGCAATAAACAGCAAGTTTAACAAGCTCGTTTTTGTCTGTACTATTCATTAGCAATGAATATTTCAAAGTATTAGGATTACTAGTATATCTTACTGAAATATATTTACGACGCTCCTGCTTAAAAAAGTCACACACAAACAGGTAATGAAATTCATCCCCTAAAGAGTTTGTATTACATAAATGACATGTTCTTTCATCTCTCGGGATACCAAAGAATCTCCCCTTTTCTATAGGTAATCTATGGTTCGTACATCTGAACTTTAAAATAGCATTAGACAAATGGTAAGGCAAAGTATCTAGATAATTTTCAAAAACAAAGGAATCTTTGTACATTCTGTAATTAAGGCTTTTACTGGACTCAGCCACAAAACTATGCCATTGTTGTAAATATTGATCTCTCAATCTAGTTTTAACAATGTTCTTGAACAATTGCTGTGAAGAAGGTATATTATACATCCAGTAATTTGACATGCCCAGAGAGTCCAATAAATTGTGTACATAATTGATCCAAGGTAGTTTTACATTGTTATCATCACTATACAACTTATAAGAAACATTATACAATATATGACATATTTTCTCAGGTTTAGCATTTAAAATTCTATTCCAGTAACATAAAATATGAGCCTTAACATGAATAGACAAAGGTAGCACCCCTAGTTCACCATATAGCATACAATTAGGAGTGCTTTGTTTTAACCGAAGAATAAGTTTATAGAATTTTAACTGAAATTGATCTATCAAGTCTAAATTTTCAATTCCCCACACTTCACTTCCATATAACAAAATGGGTGCTACCATTGTATCAAACAAATGTATTTGCATACTAATAGGCAGGTTCAGCCTTCTAGACTTTACTATTACAGAGAACATTGCTTTTCTAGCTTGTTGTAACAAGTATTCCTTTGTTTTAGTAAATTTACCATTATACGAAAACTTTACGCCAAGATATGAAAAAGAGTCGACTACTTCTAACATATTACCTTCAAAAATGAAATTAGGAGCATTACGAATACCACGTACATTTTTACAAAATACAACAATTTTAGTTTTTGCAGGATTAACTTGGAGACTCCACATATTACAGTAACTACTCATTGCATCAAGTGCCTTTTGCAATTCATCTGCAGTTTCAGCAAAAATTACAGTGTCATCAGCATAAAGTAGTATGTACAATTTAAAAAAACCTCAACATCGAAGTACTCAGAGTATCATTTACTACTGAAGATAATGAAACTAGACCATTATAATGTTGTGACAAAAACTGGTTTAAATCATTCAAAAACAAAGAAAATAGAACAGGCGAAAGATTTTCACCTGAAAATTTATCTAAATGTACACATGTTCCTACAATGATTTGATTAAGGGGAGATAATCATATCATGAATAAAGCTTCAATTATTTAAATTGATAAAATTAAAGATACAGCAAAAAAACAAAATGAAACTCAATTAAACAAATTTCCTTTATACTTCCCTCTTACGCCGACACTCAAATAAATTTGTCTTAAAGATTAAGGCAACAGGTAAAAAATCACATTATAATACAAAATCCAGTCCACTTACAAATGGAGGCCGAATAAATATAAAAGGGAAGTAACTCATTAATATTTGGAAAAACTATCCGTTTAGGAAGTCTCTATATTAGTAAAATTTCAACCTGGTGTTGTTTTTCTCGAATACATTCACGTCATCGCCACAGAATGGCTGTAGAAAGGGTTAAATCCCCGCAGAGGGAAGTGGTTTCGGTGAGTTAAATCCTGAAACGAAAGAAGAAAATACCATAAAATAGTTCTATAAATAGAAATCTACTTTATTTATACAATTTTATCCCAAATGTAAGAACTATTTTAATTATTTTACACGTCTGATGTCTTGTTAATGTTGATTTTTGTCAAAGTTAAAATCCACATATAAATCATATAACGTAATCATGATTAAACAAAATCACGGGGGAGGGACTGTTACAAGAAGGATGGAGTTCTTATGATAACTTGTCAAAGAGTTCTTGTGATAACTGTAGGGGAGTTTGTTGGAAATCTTTGGTATAAATGTATTATGCGGTTGTAGCGGCATTTGCCGTTGTGGTTGTGTTGAAGGTTGTGGTGGCGGTTGCTGTTATGTTTTTGGTGTTGTTTGTGATTGTGGTGGAGGTGGCTGGTGCGGTTGGGTTGGTGGTTGCGGTTCTGTTGGCGCTTGCGGTTGGGGTGGTTGTCACAGTTGTGGTCGCGGTTGTGGTCGCGGCGATGGTTGCGGTTCAGTTGGCGCTTGCCATTGTGGTGGTGGCGGTTGTGTTGGTTGCGGTGGCGGTTGTGGTTTTGGTGGCAGTGGTGGTTGCAGTTGTGTTGGCGGTTGTGGTGGTGGTGTCGGTTGTGCTTGCGGTTTTGGTGACAGTTGCAGTGGCGGTTATGTTGGCAGTTGCAGTTGTGGTGGCAGGGTTCGTACAGACATCCAGTATCAAAATTCAAGGACTTTTTAAGCATGTTTTTCCATTTTTCAAGCACAATTTGTTGCGTCTATATCCTACACAATGTTTAACCAATATTAATTTATAAGTCATTTCTTGTTGAAAATACATTTTCTGGCTACAGTTTCTATAGAATAACAACAAAGATAGCAACAAATACAAACTTAACTGCCACCCTGTTGTATGGCCCCCTGTTAAACCCCTAACTTCAATATATCATAAACAAGATCGGGTTTTTTTTTGTTTTGTTTTTTATTTGTTCATTTTTACCGACACTAGTCTGTCATTCAATTATTTTCAAGCACATTTGTAGCGAATTTAAGCACTTTTTAAGCACTTTTCAAGAGAGTTATCAAATTCAAGGACTTTTAAGCACTTTTTATCATTTTTAAGCACTTTTTAAGAAAGGGACTGAAATTTAAGCACTTTTTAAGACTGTACGAACCCTGGGTGGTGACGGCGGTTGCGGTTGTGTTGGCAGTTGTGGTTGCAGTTGTGGTGGTGACGGCGGTTGTGGTTGTGTTGGTGGTTATGGTTGTGGTGACAGCGGTTGCGGTTGTGTTGGAGGTTGCGGTTGTGTTGGCGGTTGCAGTGGCGGTGGTGGTTGCGTTGGTGGTTGTGGTGGAGGTTTGTGGTGGCAGTTGCGGTTGTGTTGGCGGTTGAGGTTGTGGTGGTGGTTGTGTTGGCAGTTGTGGTTGCAGTTGTGGTTGAGGTTGTGGTGGCAGCTGTGTTGGCAGTTGCGGTTGTATATATATATATATATACACATCACTAAATAATATATGGTAACAATTATGGCAAGATTTAGATCACCATGCAATTTTAGCCACTTTCTACTTGACATTATTTATCCATAATGATAGTTTTTATGTAGTTTTTCACCTTTTCTCCTCTAGGTGAACTTGACAGTTTCTCCATATGTCTTTCAGCCTCCTCTTGTTCTGATATATACAACCATCAGATTCTGTCAATGGATCACCTCTAAATTTGTAGAAATATCATCTATAACATCAGTACAGCATTGCTGGTATACACTTGCTCCTATTATCTTCCTTACAAAGTGCTCCTAAAATTTCACCTGTTGGTTCAAAAATTAAAATAACAATAATTTATATGACTATGTGTAATTTCCAAATTATTTGAAAATTACTCAGCTAAAATAGCCTAATATTGCTTAAGCAAGTATGTTGTTCTGTCAAATAGCAAGCTGAAAGAAAGCATGCATTACAGCAACATAAGTATGCTAAACTAAAAATGTGTCCATAGGACACGGATGCCCCCACACACCACTGTTCTGTCAATCTTATGACTCTAGGTCAAATATTTTTTGGACTACATGTGCCACAAGTTGAAAACTAAAAATCAACAAAGGGCCATAATTCTGTTAAATTTGGTCGCAGCAAAAATTCCTACCTTTACTACCATCTACACATTAAGGTTGTTAATCCCTGGAAGTTTAAGCAAAATCTGCCATCCGGTTTAAGAGGAGTTGCGTTCACAAAATTTCTACATAGTATAGAATGAAAAAAACAACAAAGGGCCATAATTCTGTTAAATTTGGTTGCAGCAAAAATTCCTTCCTTTACTGCCATCTACACATAAAGGTTGTTCATCCTTGGAAGTTTGAGCAAAATCTGCCATCCGGTTTAAGAGGAGTTGCATTCACAAAATTTCTATATAGTATATAGTGAAAAAATCAACAAAGGGCCATAATTCTGTAAAGTTTGGTCGCAGCGAAAATTCCTTCCTTTACTACCATCTTCACCTTAAGGTTGTTCATCCCTGTAAGTTTAAGCAAAATCTGCCATGCGGTTTAAGAGGAGTTGCGTTCACAAAATTTCTACATAGTATATAGTGAAAAAATCAACAAAGGGCCATAATTCTGTTAAATTTGGCCGCAGCAAAAATTCCTTCCTTTACTACCATCTACATATTAAGGTTGTTCATCCCTGTAAGTTTGAGCAAAATCTGCCATGCGGTTTAAGAGGAGTTGCGTTCACAAAATTTCTTCATAGTATCTAGTGAAAAAATCAACAAAGGGCCATAATTCTGTTAAATTTGGTCGCAGCGAAAATTCCTTCCTTTACTACCATCTACACATTAAGGTTGTTCATCCCTGTAAGTTTAAGCAAAATCTGCCATCCGGTTTAAGAGGAGTTGCGTTCACAAGATTTCGGGACGTACGGACGGACTGACATACGGACGGACGGACTGACACTGGGACGGACAAGTGCAACGCTATATGCTCCCACTCTGTGGGGCCTTAAAAATATGGTTAGAGGTAACACACTTGGGCATGTTAGCAAAAATTATTCAATATGTTTTCTTCATAAATTGTAAGAAAAAAAAAGACTTGATTTGAAAAACAAACCTGCACCATTTAGAACTGTATGTCGAGCTATGGTTACAATTTCACGCACATTGCACTTGTTTATTCGGACTATTCAGGGCATTTTTTCCTTCTTTAGTAGGGGCCATTATAGGGCTGCTTCCCAAAAGAAAATTTTTTTAAAATCATGCAGTTTTCCCCCAAAATTGAATTTACATCAAGTTTTTTTCTTCCCCTTTTGCAAATATACCATGACTGTAATTTTTCCCCAAAATTAAGGGCAGGGCTGCTTCCCCAACCTGTCAAAAAAAGCCCTGCTATCTATAGCTCCCGCAAGTTACGTCATTATGTGATCAGCAAACTTTACACAATGGCTATTTAAAACAATACCATCGGTCTTGAAAATGGACATATAACATTGAGGTTTGTTGACGTTGATTTAAATTTGTCATATCAAATATAGTATTGTTACGTTGAGCGTCGGTCCACCATGGCTGCAGATAACATCAGTATTTGCGGTAATTACCCAATTAAAATGTCAAAAAACGCAATAGAAATAATAACTAAAGGTAAGAAAAAGTAAGTAAATTCTTACTTATGCAAACTACATTTGAAACTGGTGTGTAATGATGTAAATTATACTTAAAGCCATACATCAGGCAGATCATACTGTTTCAGACTGTTTTAACCTTTAAATTATATCAGGCAGCTTGGAAATCTCCTAAGCCAATAAACCATAAAGCATTACTAAGTTAAGTAAGTAGCTTTTTTATTACCTACAACAGTCTACAATGCAAATTTGGTGGGTACCACTAAAATACGCAACGGAGATTTTTTGGCGCAACGGAGATTTTTTTTTTTTAGAAAAACCGGCACAACGCCTTTTTTTAAAGTCAATGACTATGCTATATTTAAGCATCTAAAATGATTGTTTAGCACTATTAAGCCTCCGTCTCACTTACTCCCGGCAGAGCCCAGGACCATCCTGGTAAGTTACCGGGATGATCCGGGATGAAATTATTGTTTCGGTCACACTTACCCCGGCAGCACTACGGTAGTTGCATACTAACCACCCAGGATGCGCTCCTGATCATCCAGGCAGAGCCCATGTGAAGCTACCGTTCATGCCGGTGCTTCCCCGGTCGTTCCCGGATGTCACCGGAAGAGCCCTGGTTGACCCAGGCAGAGCCCCGGTCGATCCAGGCAGAGCCCCAGCAGAACCCAGGACGATCCAGGCAGAGCCCCGGTAAAACCCCGGTGGATTGAAAACGCCCAAAAATGATAACATTGATACATAATTTTTATTAAATATAATATCTAAAAAATTTGTTCCAAAAGGGTAATTCATGATGATTTTCTGAAAAATCCTTATTCCATACTGGATTAAAGAAGGGAAAAGGAAAGGCTTGTAATACAAACAAGCGCAATCATCTCAAATTGTCGTTATTCTTTTGAAATGCTACGGGCTATGCCGGGGCTCTACCGGATCAACCATAGCTCTACCTTATCCTCCTGGGCTCTGCCTGTAGTTACCCGGGCTCTGCCGGCATATATCGGGGTTCTACCGTAGCTCTACCGGCTATTTCATACCCCGGATCATCCCCGGTTTGTGCCGGCAGAGCTATGGTGCTTTCCCGGTATAACCCTGGTCGTTCCCGGCAGAGCTAAGGATGAAGCCGGCAAACCTATACCTTCCCGGATCATCCCGGTGATATTAAATATTTTATTCCATCCGAGGTCGAATGCCAGGATGATGCCATCAGTTACGGATGTACCCCGGTTGTTCCCGGATCACCCCGGACGTCTACCGGGGCTCTGCCCGGATGTAAGTGAGACTGTAGCTTAAAGTCAGTATGTTTTAAAATGTTTCATAAATTGTATATGTTTAATTGCACTGAAGGGTTATATGCCTGGCGAAATGGAAATTTCATGGCACAACGTAGATATTTTTTTAGAAAAATACC